GTCACCTGTAAAATCCGCTGGCGACTCCGCAGCTGGACTCACAGCCTTCCGGCGTTTCCGCATTGGCGCAAGAATGCAGTCGAGAGTTCTTGCCCCTATTGCACGGGTCTACCTTGATCCCTGGAACGATCGTCAAGCTGATCTTTACGGTCTTGGAGGAGACGGCGCGATCTGTTCCGTTCCACTTGACTTTAAGCCTGCAAGGATACCCGATCGGACTAAAATGCTCTCTGTAATCGTATTCGGTAGCGCTGGTCACGGAGAAACGAATCTATCGTCGCGACTTACACCAAATTGGCTGGTTCTTTCTCCAGTTGATCTTCGTCGGCGACATAGATTATACCTCCTCTATGGGTGACAGCGAACGCGCTCGATCCATGAACGTTGAATCTTATCGAGGGATGCGGTTCGGTGCTCGGTTTCGCGATTCGGGTGTAGCGTGGCGCGAGCCGTGAGATCTTCACGTTCGAGGGATACGCGAAGGATTGTTTGCTCGAAGATATCGGCGACACGGTCGTCGTGGTCATCCGATGCTCCGGACCGTAGAAAGTCAGCGTGATGTTGAGCTATCGAAAGGCAAACGTGTTGCTCGTGAGGTGTCTCTGGGCATTCGCGATTCGTGATCGTTCGTCACGGTTTTGACGAGACGAGGCAGAAGCGGGTCCGTCAGACACGGGCTGATTTTGACAGGATCGCACCGTGGAATGAAAAATCTGCGTTCCGGGGGTAGAAGGCGGGGGATGGTGAACAAGGTCGCGTACGATTCGCCGAATTTTCCGCCACGAGTTTTCAGTGGGCGTTTCGCCCGGCACGATTAAAACGTTTATATCGGAAGTCAGTTGGGAGATAATAGGCAGCTTCCGCCTACGCGTCGACCGCCGCGATGTGCCGTATAATTCCTCCACGAAGTAGCGAAACGATTCCCATTAATTCTCGCTTAGCCCGCTCCTCGAAACCGCGCCCAACCAACGCTTTCGCAACCTTTGCCATCTAATTGTTTAACGAGTCACGATTATGCCGACGGAACTGAACCAGCGAACGTTGGTACACGCATACATCCGAGGTGCCGTTTAAAATCGTTACCGTCCAAGGTACGAGTCGCGGTGTTTCGGAACATTCGTCGATACGCTGAACGTGGAAAAGAATCGGTCAAGGTTCTTCGTTCTTTTAGATATCACTTTAACCACGGCCAAGAGTATAGGGTATCGCCAAATCGATTTCGGTTTAAATTCCGTTGCCTGGCGTTTTTCCCCGCCTTTTTCTTTCACCTCGCGATAAATTTCTCTCGGCGACACTCCGTTCGAGATATCGTCCAAGACTCACCGTGTCCTTTCCGTATCCTGGAATCAGAGACTCGTCCTTTACCCGTAGGGTCACGCGATAAGGAGACTTTGGTAGGAGAGTGGTTTTCGCGGAAATTCCTGCAACAGAGCAGAAGGAATATTTCCTTTGGCGTTAGCGAGAGAGCGAAGATTCGTACTTGGACACTTACTTGTAAATATGGCGGTGTACGGAACTACTTCCGAAATCTCGATGGGCAATGTGTTGAACGTGACGTTCAAAGCGTCATGAACGTCCCCGAGTATGACAATGCTGTACCGGTTGCTACTTTCCGTGTCCGCGTCCTTTAGTATCAGCTTGTTTTCGTCCACCAGTTTGTCGCCCTACCGACATAGTCAACCGATTGATAATGGCAACGGTTCGGCGACGGTTCGGCGACGGTTCGGCGACGGTGAGGTTCGGGGGAGAAGAACCGGGGGAGAAGAATTTGGCGGATTTGCGCTTAGGGGGAAGCAGGGACGAGGGAAGATGGGCGTAAAGTAGACGTAAAAGAGAGATCCGAGCTTAATCAAGATCAGCCCCTGAAGGGTTTTCCTTGGTTGTCGGGTGCGCGTGCCTGGTCCTTTTCCCATCTTTCGAGACGGTTTCGTCGCGTTCGTCGCTTCCGCGTCTTTTCACGGCCGCCGTTGGAAACAATGCCACGCGATCGCGAGAACAATACGGCACTGATCAAGTCCGATTCCTTAAGCATCGCTCGTGGAAGGAGTACTCGTTGGCCCGTTAACGCGATTCGCGCTTGCTTTCGCGATTTATCCACCTCCACCACTCACCGCGGTAAATTCTCGAAGCGTGATGTCGATCGAGTCGTTTCCCTGCGCCATCGGCGGATTGTCGTCTTGATCCAAAATGTCCACGTGTATGACGTTTATCGACACGTACTGCCTTCCGGTGATCTCTTCGTAAACGACGCATTGAACTTGAAGGGTGACTCGCGGGCCCGGACCTGCTGGTGGCGGACCCAACGCGTCTCTGTCCAGAAACGCGTTAGCGAACAGCGTATCGTTCGACGCGTAAAAATATTCCGTACCTAAAAATCGGCCAACCTTCTCTTATCTTTTTCGCTCGCCTTCCGGGAATTACGAAACGCGCTCGTGTTCGATAGATTTATCTTCTCGTCCGAACGGCAGGAATAAACGTTCGGTTTTTCGGTTTAACTTTAAAGCAGCAGTAAAGAGCGAGACGTTTATTCCCCGATACGGGAAGAGATGGACCTCGAATGCATGCACTTGCCGTTCAATAATTTGTAACCGGTAACGCGGAAATTGGGACAGATCTCGCTGTAAGCGGCAGGTCCGAAGGTACCGATCATGGCGGTTGGTTGGTTTTCGTAGATCCTGTATTTCGACGCATTCCAGAAGCACATGTCCTGCAAATCGAACGACATCGTGTTCAAGCGAGAAATCCGCTAATTTCCCCTTACGATGAACGGAAAAAGGGGTAAAGAAGACGTAGCGGATCCTTTACCTGTACGTAATCGGAGCAATTAATTGTCGTTCCGTTAACGCGCAGTCTCTTCACCCTGATCTCCAGGACAGCCTCGTTGACGGTATTCTCTCTCGCCAGGATCACGATCGTATCGTGTCCCGATGTACCTTGGCGAGCAACGAAACGCGATTAAACGATCCTTCGTACGAGATTCGAGATTTATCGGAAAGGCAACTCTTGCTTACCATGCTTGGAAAAGTCGTGCAGTAACAGGTTGTTCGTTTCGGGATCAATCGAAACGATTCGTTCGCTGGGGACGGTGACGCGATAGTTTGCGTGATTCGGTTCCGTCGAGTCGTTTCGAAAGGTCCTTAGCTCGAGGAGTTTCAGGTTCCATGAAAATTTCCCGTCTTTTCGAGGTAGATACGGTATCCTTACGGTCAGATCCGACTGCGGAAAGTAGAGCTCTGAAACAGAAACGTACGTTTGGCGTGCGCGCGTGCGTGTAGCGCGTGGCACGTTATAAAATTGCAGTCGTGACATTTCTTCTTTCACCGTATTCGAACGAGCGACAGCGATATTTTCTATCTAAAGACGAAAATAAACGTTTCGTTGCGATATCGTCAAGTTCAACGGTGAGGGTTCGTGTACGGTCAACTTCGTGGAAACGACTCGTGTCAAGGTGAGCGTTTAATCGATACACGGCAGGTAGTTAAAGTCCTGCTCGGCAATCGTGCGCGCACGTTCTTGCGGTTACAGATCGCGATCAAGATTCAACGCTATTTTCGCGGAACGCGTATATACGAACGTTTCGATGTCGCGAGTTGACAGCTTATTCGATCGTATCTCGTCCTGTGAGCCGCCCTCTCTACCGTCCAGTGTATCGTCCCGTGTATCGCCGCGTCTACAGAGATCGGACCAGCGAGTTCTATAGAAATTTTCCCCGAAAATGGAATACGGGGAATCGCGTGGAGGAATTTTTCGCTCGTCGATCGGACCGACAATTTCACGTCGTGAGCCGGGAGGCACGCGTACGTGGTAGAAGGGCTAGGGTAAGAAGATATTTCGGTAGGAAAGGGCCGTTGGCGAAGGCGAGGGTGCGATAGCGAGGGTGGTGGTATGGTAACGGCCAAAGGCGAGCGAAAGAGCGTAGGATAGAGCGTAGGAAAGAACCACGATGCGACGGTCACGCGAAAGTCGAGTTAAACGTGCAAAGTATCTCGAACGCGTTTCGCGCACGCATACGTCTTTCCATCGCGCTACCTATAGTTAATACGTACTGTGCTGGCTGCCAGCTGGTTTAACGAACACGGCTTTTTTCGCGTGCCAACAGCGGCCAGAGTTTGCATATTAGCCGGCTACCACGCTCCCAACCAGAGTTGGTTATCGCGCGGAAACAAGTCGTGGCCCAACGAGGCGAACGAACGCGCTTATCGGCCGTTTTTCTTCTACCTGTCGTTCGTAATCTCGCTTTATCCACGGCCGCAGTCGCTGGAGCAGCCAACGATTGACCAACTCGGCAAATTTTTCTCCTTCTCTCGACTCGAAAGAAAACGAAAATGAAGAAAGGAAAGGAGAAAAGAAAGGAAAAGATGGATGGTAGGTGGATCGGTAGGCGCGTAAAACGGAATCGCGTAGAGAAGAAGAAACGACTGGTCGCTGGATCTCTGGAGGCGCGAGATCGTTGGAACTGGAAACCCTATTCGCACATCGAGTTACGATTCCCGAAAACAGAGACCGTGAACACGATACGCGCAGCCATACAACTCGGCACAGCCCTCTCGGTCGCCGATCTGCAAGGACCTTCCGCGTTCGAGTTCGCGCCGAGCGAGGCCAGACGGGCCAGCTACTACCCCACCAACATGGATCCCGATACACGCGCCACGCGTGTGTAAATTGATTCGACGTTACCGTTGACGTTACCGCCGACGTTACTATCGCACCTCGCCAACCCAACCAGACGTATAATTTACTCGAGAACTCCTTTCCCCGCTGTTTTTTTCTTCCTTCATTTCTTATTTTCTTCCTTTATCTTCTCGTCTTTCCCGACTTTGCGATTTTTACCAGCTTTTCCCTTTCACCATCTAACGTCGTTCCATATAACATCGTTCCATAGAGCGCAACGACGACCGTACGCGTTCGGCGATGCTTCGATCGGAGATGGCACGATCGCGTGCACTTGTGCAAACATCTCGAGTCGTAGAATTAACAAGTTTCTCATTGTCCCGCGACACTTGCACGCATGGTGAACGATAAATAACGTCGCGTCTTCCACCCCGTCCATTCTTCTCCTTCCTCCTGCCTTTGCCTAAATCAACCCACTCCTCCGACTTTCTTCCCTTTACCCTATTCCCTTTTCCGATCACCGACAGTCACTCCACATCACTTTCCACGTTGCACACCGTGCCGTACTCTGCCGTACTCTGCCGAATTCCGAAATAGCTTAACTATATTTAGGTCATTTCGACACCCCAGCCGGGATAAAGGTGTTGCTCTTTAAACGCAACGACCGACCTTTAAACGCCGTAACAACGAACTTACGACCTTTTTAAAATCTTCCTCCGTATTTATCACCTTTTCCGAAAAAGTAAGGAAAGGGAAAAGTAAAGGGATAGGGAGAAAGCAGCTTGAACGCGTTCGGCGCGTTTATTTCTGATTCGACACGGGAAAAGAAACTTTTTTCGCTCCGTCCGAGTTTTTCGATAAACCGACAACGTCGCTGCGCGATCGTAGCGAGAATCTTCCTTTCGAGATTTTCCAGTGGAATAAAATTCGCGCGATAAGACGAGAAATGTTTCCTTTCGACTGACGCTTGACGCGGACGAAACGCGATTTTTCTCGTTTCACGCGTACACGTATAGCCCCGTATCGATCGTACGTTCGATTCACACCCTTCGCGTGTTCATTTTCGATACTGGTCGACGAGTTTATCTTCGTAACCACGTAACGCGATGCGACGTAACATAAGGTAACAATAGCGCAAGCACATGGGGCAAGTTTTACCTTTACAATAAGGTATCGAACGCTTAATCAAAGCTACACAGCATACACGGCCTACTTTTTAAGCAACCGTTGCAACCTTCGTCGATTACTTCGAATCGATACTTTTTAATCGATACTATAATCGATAATTTTTCCATCGCTTTTTCTTCTTTTTCTTTTTCTTTTTCTTTTTCTTTTTCTTTTTCTTTTTCGTACATCGTTAACGATCGCGTTGCTTTCTAAGCGAAATCGATCGATCGATTTAATTCTATAACACGACGTTTATCTTTGCCTACCTAAGTCCCGGCTTTTCGATTCGCGAGTCGAAATTCGAATTCGCTTCGTCGCTTTCGCGCAGGTTTCGCATAGAAAAAGGAAAAAGTTTGTAGGAAACATTGTATCGGAACGGGAAGGATAGCGTCTTTATCAAGGAGATTCGACGAACGCGGGTCGATCGTCGACGATGCGCGTTTCTTTCTACGTACGACGTATACAAGCGCGAACCTGCTAACAAGGACGAAAGTTGACCAGGGCTAACCGTTTCACGCCTACTGTATTATGTACTTACTACTAGGCTCGATTCTGTTTACTCGGTATAATGCTACGGATGCAACGTGGAAGCGTATAACGAACCATGCTGGCTAATTTTTCCCTTTTTACCTCGTGCATCGTTCATCGATCGGGCTGTTTTGCAGTTGCCGATTATCCTTCTCCAACGATGCACGGTGCGACCAACAACGCGTCACGACTCCGGTGACAACCCATTTCTTTAAACGGCAATAGAGCGTAATTTTAATAGACAACGACTATTATTCGCAATTATACATTTGCGAAATTGCGTTATCGGGTGTCTCTACTCGAGGAAAAACTAACGCGATACGCGAATGTTGACGCGTTAATAACCAGCTCCGGTAGAATGTACGATTAACAAACGATAATGGCGTAAAATAATCGCGTCATCGAAAAGCCAATAGAATCGCGTTCGCGCTTCGTTGTAGCGAATTCGCAGTAGCGTTCGTCGACGATTTGTCCGACACGGAGCACTTCCTTGCGCCACGGATACGATGGATGATACACTGGGATCATCTTTCGCGAACGATACCACGTATGCGATGAATAGAAACGTCAGAAGGTCGCCTTTTTTTTTTTTTTTTCTTTCTTTCTTTTCATTTTCATTCGCAGTTTCCCGGTATTCAATTATCCGATAATTGTACGGATATTACGGAACATCGAAAGAGGTATTCGCACACATTACGATATCCAACCACACAAAAGGGTTCATAGCTCTCTCGCAACGTTGGGATTGTCCCGTTTAGACTTTCAAATTAGACGTTCGTTAATCGTTCTATCGAACGTGTTACTCGCTGTGGAAACAAAACCAGGGAAGAACGCGTGGAGAAACCGATGGGAAAGGAGAGAAAGAGCATTCGTTATAATTTGAACGGCGTTCAAAGCCTCGTAGCCGGCGTGTTTGTTAACGATCTGCGGCACGTATCGAGATGCAGCTTGATTCGCGTTTACGGTCAGTTTACAAGTTCGAGCCTTGCCGCGCATTCGACTCTATCGGTACATCGGAGATATGTCGTGTAAGCACCGTCGTAAATCGTAACTGCGCGAATGGTAATTTTCGAAAAGGTATGCGAATTCCAAGGAAACTTTAGGCACGACGAAGCGTCGTCTCGCCGATGTAGTATTTGGGTTATGGGGTGTGGCGTCCCGAATGCCCCGTGGGAACGTCGTTGTCAGTTCACCTACATACGTCTAATGTTTTTCCGAGTACACTTTATATTAAATTACTACGTTAACGAATTATGTAGAAAGGAAAAAAAGAAAAAGAGAAAAGGGTTCCGTTAGGTTTGCGATTAGGTTTGCGAAATAAACGCGGACACGGGTACAGACAGACGCGAATGTCGACGAGGACGAAATTTCTGATAAACGAACCAACGATCCTCTGCATTGTATCGCGTGCAAACAAAGGCTCTTCGCGTAACTCGAAGAGACTTTGCGTGGATTACGAGGAACAAAGAGGTATAGGAGGGAAAGATGGCGATTGAAAGATCGACGATACGCTTCGACGTATCCGTCGATAACGAATTAACGAACGAAATCGGACTGGCTGGTCGAGGAGTAGCGAGGACGATGCGACGAGCAACGCGAGCGATAAATAGAAAGGTACATCGGTCGATATTTGGTTAAACAGTTGGGAGAAACGTATTGTCTTTGGTGGATCAAAGCTCGAGAGAGGTTGCTGCCGTTTGGGGGAACGTTGCTAATCCTCTTGTCGTCGCATCAACGTCGGATCGTTTGCTCGTTCGCGTATTGGTGGCCGAATACGGACAGCGGTACAGAGAGCAGTTAAGGGTAATCGAAATTCGACTGGGACGCGAGGTTCGTTTCGAGTTTATCACCCATTGGTGACTTGGATCGCTAACGATCGATCGGTCTTTCGTCGCGATCCGATGAATCGTAAGTTGCTTGGCTCTCGGCGAACCGACTCTCTTTTCTTTCTCTCTTCCTTTCTCCTTCCTCTTCCGACTCTCTCCTGCGCGTTCCGATTACGAATTGGTGGTTACAGGAAAGGGCGAGGGTTGCTTTTAAGCCGGGCGTTGATTAACGATTTCGGAGCCGCACGCGATGTTCGAGGTTCGTATTTCATCGCTCGCTAGCAACTTTACCATTACCGTTTCGCTTGATTCCAGCGAAAATGTTACAAAGTTGAAAGCCTGCTTTCTTTTTGCTCTCGACGATATGTCGGACATCGGACGTCTCTTACACGAGTTGCCACGTGGTTAACGACTAGGTTCCTAAGCGTGACGAATGACGAACGTCGCTAACCGCGAATCCCGAAGGATTTACGAGAGGACGAGAAAAACGGTCGTTGTAATAATCGAAACGTAGCGCTATGTTTCGGGACAACGATACGTCTCGATATATTACATCGGTCGATTATTTCAGCGACCATAGATAAATAGGTTGGCGAGTGTATGCGTGCGCGCGTATGCGGGTTGCGAGTAGAACGTTAATCGGCCGCGTGCAGCGGTCTCGGGATTAGCTTTCGTTCCTCTCCGTCGCCTATGCGTTCCGTGTTTTATCGAGCGCACGGTGAACTCGCCGTGGTACGCCTCGTGGTACTTGTCGAGTCTACTGACAATATCCACGCGAATGGAAAACCGTTTTCGCGCGTCTCCGACAAACGCTTCGAACAAATCCTTCCATCCACTCTTGACTTCGTAGTTTTTGTTTTTTCCTTTGTTGAATATCGCGCGACGAATCAAGCGTGGAAAATCGATCGTTCGATTATCCGTGTATCCGTGTATCCGTGCATCGATTCGCTCCATTTCCCGGGATCATCGCGTGTTTTCCGTTATTAAATCAACACTTTGCATGCCTTCGAGTTGCCGCGAGACGCGAGACGCGAGACGCGAGACGTGCGACGAGCTCACGCGTACACGCGCTGTGGCTCTCGTAATTAATCGAAAATGCGTAATAACCGGTGTAATGGCGTGTTAATGAATTCATAGGTAAGGCCATCGGTAAAGGAGAATCATAAACAACGTTTCGCAATTATCGTACGTATTGCAATTATCGTTCGACTGGCAATTAAAACTTGGAGAAATTTCGAATTGGAAAATTTGCGATTTCGAGAAGAAAATACGTATACGCGTCGCGTTCGCATCGAGTCACGGAGTTATTTCCTCCGAATAAAGACGAGTGACGGTTCGAAGCGTGGACGGTAAGCGTGGATGGTGTGCGTGGAAGATAAGCGTAAACGCGTGAACGCGTGAACGCGTGAACTCGACCGAAGGGCAGTATCGATTTTTCGGCTGCATCGGAATCACGTGAGAGCGAGGTTGCACGCGACATCGTGATATCGCGTTCCTCGATTACGGTCAAGTGCGAATGTCATCGGTTCAACCTTCGCGTGGTCGGTTAAATTTTCCTTTGAAAATTTATTCGCCAAAGTTCGACGAAATTGCTGCCCCTAGGCCCATTTTTTAACCGTAAACTTCCCAGCCGATCCCTCAATCGAACCTCGATCGATCCTCGATTTCAATCGCGTCGCACGCTTCGCGCGGGTTTCCTTCGTACCCCCGTTAATATCTAGCGACTACGTGCACGTTCTATCCGTCTTTCTTTTTCCTTTTTCGTCTGTTTCGCGCGCGCACGAGATCGCGATAACTCGGACAGTCGGCAATGCTAATTTGGGATCGTCGAAGAGGCGCAAATTTTAGCATACAATGCTGTTCCGTGTTGATTCGTCGTGGATTTAATAGCGCGAGGTTGCGCGATCGAACGGTGTGCCACTAGCGCGCGCTTTCCTCGTGTTTCCGAACGTTGCCGTAGTCGTTGCACGGTACGCGTTGACGTGGACCAAGATATCACGGATTACGAGACGATGGATCACTTACCAGAGGCAGGTGTCCCCATTGGCAACAGCAACAGCAGAAGCAGCAACATCGCGTAGTCGATAGACGTCGTAAACTTGCAGGATATTTTGCGAGATTTTCCGAGCAGCGTGACACGGGTCGTCAAACAAGGTTACTTTGTCCGCATTATTAAGTTTCGTCGCTTTTTCGCCGATATTCGCGCTACGCTTCGTTATTCGTGTTAAACACGCGCTCGCGCGCTTTCCAGCGATGCGATCATGGAACGTTCGTCGCGTTGGTTAACGCGTGGATGCCGTGGAAGTTGTGGAAGTTGTGGAAGCCGTGGATCCCGTGGATCCCGTGGATGCGAACCGCGGAAAAGACGATGTTCGTCGTTTCTTGGAGAATGTAGGCATGTTGGTTTCGGCGATCGCCCGATTCCGAATCGTCGCACCGAGACGACGGCCAAACGTCGTTTCACCGTTTCATCCACCGATCCAGTATCGATTCACTCGATTATATCTAACGAGAATCGCGTTGCACGGTAGAGAAAGAGTGATAAAAACACGCTACTTTGGGACAGCTGTAGGCCGATTAGTCGTGCAACGTACGAGTGGACGTTTCGTTTAGTACCGACTGACCGGTCGATGCCGCGAAACTCGCTACTCGCGTGGGTGTCGCCTCGAATCGAGCGAATCGCGAATTCATCCTGTCGGCAGGTGAAACGTTCGTCAGAGGTGGCTTATTTCTGCGGAATGAACTAGCGAACGGTGGAAGGAAGAGGGAAGCTCCGGTGAGAAAGAAAGACGAGAAGAAGCGTCGCGACGGCGAGGCGCACCAGGCATTACTGAGAACGTTGTCCAACACCCGCCGTTATCAGGTACGATTCGCCGCGAGTGCGCGTGCGTGTGGGCGCACGCGTACGCACGTGTGCGCACCCCCGAGGAATCGGGACAAACCGAGCGACGTAGTCGCTCGGGAATAGGTGCGACCCTTCCACGCGTCCTTTCCCATATGTTCATTCTAATTATTCCTTTCCGCCACGCTCTCACGCACCTTCCTCATTTTTTCCTTTCTTTTCCATCGTTTTTCCTCCGTTTTTTCCTTTTCTTCCGCTTCTTCCTACTTCCGCGAAATCATTGTTTCGTCGGTGATTGGTCGCTGCTCTCCTTTACGCGATTTTTCCATTACGCGACTCGAGCGGGACCAAAGATGTCGTAATTAGAATATCGCCATCCTGTCCGTCACGATCGAAATTTTATCGCGTCGTCGCTTTGCTTTTGCTTAATTCCACTCGATGCTTCGACAACGACTTCTTCGACCAAGAGAATAGGATCTCCCCTTTGAAACGATAACGGAACGAGACACAGGACGCGAGGGGTGCATTTCAATTGATCCGTCGCTATCGTCGGCAGGGTTCGTTGACCAACATTATCGTATATGTAGTAACGTACACGCGAACCCTTCGAGAAAAGGATAAGCCGAGAATGTCCTTCAACCATGATCGTCTTCTCCTTCCAGTCATTTACCACTTTTGTCCTTTTCTCAGGGACACTCGCGTCTCTCGCGCTTTTCTTTCCATTCGTTTACCGATTCTTCCCTCCGCGATACTGCTCTTTGCAAATCATTTTTCGTTCATCGCGAATTTCAACGTTCGTAAAGCGAGGTGTCTCGATCGCACAAGATAAATGTTTCGTTCGCTGACTGAACGATTACGTTAAGGGTAGTACGTTGAATTATGTCTTTTCGACCAACGACGATAAGTGGAAATGAAAGGATCATTTATTTGCGGCGTTAACATCGCATTTTCCGTAGTAGACGGGAACGAGAGTCGCCTCGGCGTGATATGTCGATCGGAAAACGAGGCTGAGTCACACGGGGAAGATTCCTCTTCCTCGTCTCGTACTCCGTGAATTTGACTCACGCGAAGCTGTTTGCCGAGTTATCGAACCGACGAAACGTAAATTCGACCAATCATCCAGCTAGCTTTTCCGACACTGCGAATCGAAAATCGCCTCGAAAATGCCTCGAAAGAATCATTTGAAGGTTGGACCACCTGGCTAAAGATTCCAACAACGTAGACAAATCTACGGAATTATATTACGCCTAGACCGATCGATCAGTTACATATGTGCTTTTCTTTTAGTTCCTCTCGTTTATTTCGTTTTGTTTGTCTGATACATAGGTTAAAGAAAATTAATAGATTACTTCCAAGGCCGACCGATGCAGGAGGCAAAATTCATTTACTGCGTTGGACCATTGTATAAATATATCCTCGATGATATCTTTCGTACTTATTGTCCGTTTCATTTGCCAACGAGAAATAGTTCGAAGAATCGTATATCGTGTCACATACGTCATGCTCCAGATTGAAATTTAATTATACCAAACGCGACTTTCTTTTGCCCGTTGCACATATCGAATTCTCATTCTTTACGCGTTCTTTTCCCGTTCTTCTTGCCTTCTTTTTGCTATCTTTTTCCGTTCTTTTTCCGTTCGTTCAACATACCTTGTTAATTACGCAGCATCCGTTAATCCAAATGAACAAGTGGAACATCAAAAACACCAAAGACTTAGTAAGCAGATGTTTCGGCTTATCGCGCGTTTCCCACAATGATATGAAACACGGTATTAGGGAATAGCATTGTTATTACCCCGATGGAACATAGCGAAATAGAATGAAATATATATATATATATATATATATCTTTCGTTTTAAGACCGTTTAATTTATATCGTATAATTTCTCGAATAGGATCCGTGAGAATAATAAAGGTATACGGTTACGCGAACGTTTCGGAACGACTACGGAAATAATTCTTGCCTCGATATCTAAACGCATGAAACGTGGATGAAATTTAACGAGAAAAAACCGGAAGAACCAAAATGAAAAGAGGAAAGGAAGAAAAATATGGAGCAAAATGAATTGCGCTTATTAGTTGCGATGAAGTTTATTAAATTGCGTATTTACCATTCTATAGCGGTCTTTTATCGATTAGTTTCTTGAAATTTCATAGCTGTTCTCTTCAACGCATTAAATTAACAGTTCGTCAGAAAAAATTCTTAATCTATAAAATGCAATAATAGTTGATCTCGACGATGTATACCTCTTATTTAGTCCTTATTTTGTTTCGAGGAATATTTTATCGAGCAATTTTTGGACACCTGGCATACACAGGTAAGATACAAAAGAAAAATATACCGCAAGTATACAATTTCGATCTTGGTATCTTCGTTTCCATAGTCGACGAAAATTTATTTCCGTTTTTAATCAAAATTCAAGTATAACTTCTTTGTTACGCTACTAAGGCCTGAAACCTCTCAGAATATTTTACTACCGATTCAATATAGAATGAAATTAAATCGAAGCACAGACGAACTATGGAACAGACCTAACACTGTGCGTATTTTTTCGATTCGGTTTTCGGAAGCTCTACTTCGACTGTACCAACAGGTCACTCGCAACGTTACCGACAGGGCATCGAAAATGGTTAGCGTATGAAGGTAACTATACAGCATTCAAATATAGAACATTATGTTTAAATTAAACACAAGTATTGAGTCATGACAAATATGAAATTAGTACCTGTACCTCCAAATAAGAAAAGGAAAAAAGACTGTAATAGCGATTGAGAAAGTGACAATGAAGTAAAAACTCAAGAAGAATTAGAAGTTATAAAAAAAGAGAAAGAGTTAGTTTATTGTTTACAATATAATTATGTTATAGAAAGTAGGATTTTTCATTGACTGTCTTATATTTATATTTTCCGGGTAATGAAGGAAAGGATAAAAAATAAATTGAGAGATATAAAAAAAGAACCGAAGAATTTATGTTGTTAATAATTAATGTGTATATGTGAAACTTCCAAAATGAATAAAAGGTACCTAAGTATATAACCATCATAGTTTCATTTCCTTTTTACCAAGAACAAAATCACTCGTCTTCATCTGTGACTTAATGTTCGTCTATAATTAATTCATCAACTTTTATAATTGCATCGTGAAGACACAGTCCTAGCGAGCCTTCTAATATAAGTCTGGATATGAATTCATTGTTATTTAATTCATTATTGGTGATTATTGCATAGAGTATTTGAACCATTGCCGAAGATACTAAAGGTTTGTCTTTCCATTAGTATAATGGAATAATTAATAATTTCAGTTTATGAATTAATTATAGAAATTTGAAATTTTTCGCAACAAAAATATATTTATATTTGCTTCATTGACATTATTAAATATATGAGAAATCGTTTGATATTTTACATCTATACTTTATCACATAGATATTTCAAAGATGCAACATTTTCCCGCTACAAAAAAACCTAGCATATCCGGCTACAGCCTACTTCCAGTTGGCGGTAAGCGGGCATAACGGTAATATGGTGGAATGTTCTCACGCGACAAAGTGAAACATTACATCTGAAAACGTTTCGTGAAGTAGTGATATCGCTGATTGAAGTTTTAATTACTTTAAGAAGTTCAAGATTAGTAACTGTGAATAGTTCTTCGGTGGTAATATATTACATGTGAAAAAAAGTGATGTTACATAGTGTAAATAACGATACATGTGGGAAATAAAGTGGCGTGAGTGCGGGATCCTATAATACTACCGCATTGTCCGCTATTATCGGCTGTAGAAGATTCTAGATTTCAACAGTTCCTTGGAATGTTTGATCAATATTACTCTGAATAGGCAGCTTTTTAATAGTTTTCTCAATTTTATTTCGATCTTGACGTTGAAATGCAACATAGTTACGTATTATCTCTTTTCATTCTAAATTTTTATTGTGGATTAGAATCTTTCGTTACTACTGCCTAAAATAGACTTCTCGAACCAGTAGGGCAATAACACTACGATTGAAGGTGCACATATGAAACAAAGTAACGGAAAAATAAGTGCCTGTGAAAACGTCCTACACAGTATACTTCTTTCGCCTATATTTCAGAAATTAGGTCTTTCGGTCAGATTTTTTCGGCATAACAGCGTACAGTAATTGTTTCCTTAATGGGATTGGATATTTTTTTTCGGTTTCGTGCTTGCGTTTTCGAGAAATAGTGCCGGAAGTGTCAGTGGCTCTCAGATTGTGCTGCGCAATTTGCTTTTTTGGCTTCTAGTTTTTGAATTAGGCTTTTTGAATCGGTTTTCTCCACTGATTCGCGTAGACTGATATTTTCCTTAACGGGATTGGATATTTTTTTTGGTTTCGAACGTGCGTTTTCGAGAAATAGTGCCGGAAGTGTCAGTGACTCTCAGATCGTGCTGCGCAATTTACTTTTTTGGCTTCTAGTTTTTGAATTAGGCTCTTTGAATAGGATTTTTCCACTGATTCGGGTAGAGTGATCTTTTCCTTAACGGGATTGGATATTCTTTTCGCGTTTCAAGCTTGCATTTTTGAGGAATAGTGTCGAAAGTGTCAGTGGCTCGCAGATCG